GGGGGGGGTCTGAGAGTAGACGCTGGGGCTCAGACACGGGGGACCCAGGGGAGGGTCTGAGAGTAGACGCTGGGGCTCAGACATCCAGCAATCAACTGTGTAAACTGAAATAGAAAATAGCTATTTTATTAAAAAGCTCTACTAGGACATCAGCAAGATGGTGCAAAAGGCAGCCCTAGACCTTGTTCTCCCACAGATACGCCATCTTAACAACAATACCTGGAACAATTGCCTTTGTGAGAGCCCCAGAAATGGGTTCAGAGGTTCCAACATCTGGGCAAACCCCAAAACAAAAGAACCTCATGGAAGCCCATAGAAATACTCATGGTGTTTTATGCACCTGAGCCCCTCCTCACCCTCAGCACATACAGCATGACCAAGCTGAATCACACCTGGGTATGAAAGGGCAGTTAAACACAGGAAAATCAAGCAGAGTAATAGACTATGTTAACAGAATGACAGATAAAAACCACAGTCACCTCAATGATACAGAAAAGGTATTCTTAATTCAACATCTGTGATAAAAACTCTTAACAAACAAAATACAACCAAATTAAAAAAAAATAGGCAAAGAGCTTAAATAGAAGATACACAGATAACCAATAAGCCTATGAAAATTCAACATTCCTAGATTATTAGAGAAATGCAATTGAAACCACAGTGAAAAACTACCTCATACCCACTGGGATGGACAATATTAAAAGAAGAAAAAACATGTTGAGGAGAATGCAGAAAAACTGGAACCCTGGTGAGCTGATGGTGGGAAAGTAAAAATGGTGCAACTTCTATAAAAACAATATGGAGATTCCTCAAAAAATTAAAAATAGGATTACCTCGTGATTTAGTAACCCCATTTCTGGGTATATATCCAAAATAATTCAAAGTAGAATCTCAAAGAGAGATTTACACACCTATGTTCATTACAACACTATTCAATAGCCAAGAGGCAGAAGCAACTCAAATGCCCCTTGGCAGATGAATGGAGCTATGGCATGTACATACAAGGGAGTATCACACAGTCTTAAAAAGGAAAGACATCCTGTCACATGCTATGCTGCGGAGAAATCTTGAGAACATTACACTAAGTAAAATAATCAGATCACAAAAAGAAAAATACTGTGTAATTATACTCGTAGGATGTTTCCAAAGTAATTAAAATCACAGAACCAGAAAGTAGCTGGGAGGGGAGAAAAGAGAGTTAATATTTTTATGGACATAGAATTTCAGCTTTGTAAAAGGCAAAAGCTCTAGAAACCTGTTGCATAACAATATAAATACACTTAACACTACTGAACTGCACATTTTAAAATGTTTAATATGGTAAATACAATGTTAACACAAGTAAAAATAAAACCCTTTAAAAATGACTCAATAGCCTGAGAGAGCCCAATTTTGGTCAGTTTTTTTCAGCAACCCTTATCCCCTTTAGGAAAGTAATTCCATAATTACAAAAGATATTTTTTCAGGTATACATGATAGTAAACTCCTAAGCCAGGTAAATTCTTTTATAATTCCTTTTGCCTTAAATGACAAACACTACCATAACTCGTTATAGGCTTAAAGGAACAATATACGGCAAAAAAAAAAAGACATTAATTAATCCAGCTTTCCTTCTCTGTACCACCTAGAATTGGTCACTCTACCTTTAATGAAGGATGTTGCTTGTCTTTAATGATATCATTTCAGACCCAACATCAATCTTTGCTAGAATATTAGGGAACAATATGGCTAGAGTCCGTTGTTATTTGCTACATGTACTACTGACCTAGATAACTAAAGGCTTACCAGGTTGTAGCACATGACAGGAATGGTTAAAATATCAAGCCATGCAGAGAAACTGAAAAAAAATCTTTACTAATATACCATAAGTATTGAGCCCTACAGAGAAAGCAAGTAAAATCAGTATTTGCAGTGTATACCTTCTTTGAGCAGAATTTTACAATTAAAACAGAGAGGAAGAAGCAAAAAGTGACCTCTGCATGCTGTTACTAACAGGAAGTAGGAACACAGCACTTGGCAAACATCTCCTGAGGTGAAATGTGTGGGCTGATAAAGAAGAATGGTGAGAAGAATGCTTATAAATGGTGAGAAAAATGCTTACAAATGATGAAAAAAAAAAAGAAAAGTTTATGCAAGCCTTCACTTTTCATTACTAGGTCTATTTATGTCTTTTCAAAAATATCTTAACTTTAAAAAATCAGGGATCATGAGTCTGTACAAATCTTCTGCCAGTCTATGTTCCCTCAAAAAGTTATATAGGTTAGTATGTACCTAATCTTAATGTGAAATAATATTATTACTTATTTCTTTAGAAAACTAAGATAACACATTTTTGGTAGAATATAGCTGAGACTGGAGAAAAATATATTTTTGCAATTGTCTATTTAATAATTCTCATATACCCTTATTCTATTCTCCTCCAAAACAGAGGCCAGAAGACCCAAGAGTAAATGGCTTTTTTGGACAGTCACGCTGTGGTGGACAGCAGTGACTCCCATACCCTAAGTATCACAAGAGCCTATTCTCAGCCATATTTATACAACTCTCTACTTTTGGCCAAATATTTAAAAGTCCTTAACCAGTTGTGTTTTCATTTCCTGATCAAATAGATACATTTTCAAAAATAAGGTAGAGCCTAGTGGGCAAAGTACAGATTGACTTGTATGTCTTAGCCCTGGAGTCACTTCATCTGACATTCAGTTTGCTCATGACCTTCTAAGAATTACTCTCCTTATTTTGATTAAGAGGCATTTCAGCTGACCTTCTTACAGGGCTGACTATAGACAAGAGCATGTCCCTGAATGACAGCATGTGAAACAACTAAGAAGCATTTAGATGCAATTGCCACACCAGAGAGGTAACATAAGAAAATGAGCAGTCCTATTCGTTCATTCAGTTACTCACTTATTCAACATGTATTTATTGAGTTCTCTGTTCCTTCAGCATTTAAAAAAACAAGTTTTATTTGTATGTCCTGAAATTGGAGTTCCCCTACCTGGAAGGATAGGGTGTCCTTTATTTAAAAGAGGAAATTCTCGACAGATTTCCCCATCCTCTTGATCCCGTGCCAACCATCGTTGAACAGGTATATAAAACTGAATTCCAGAATTCAAGTTCTGCAATTGTATCTACAATAAAAACAATATTGCTTACAAAAAATGTAGGAATGTTTTATCAAAGAGTCAAGTAAAAGTTTTCATCCAAGCCAGGCATTTAGCTCATGAGAAATTGATTACTTAAAAGAAAAAAGAGTTAATTTCTTCTTTTACTAACATCTGTAGTGGTATTTCTTTTCTATATCTAAATATTTTTCTATTTATTTTTTTTTTTTTAGAGACAAGTCTCACTATGTTCCCAGGCTGCTTTTGAACTCCTGGGCTCAAGCAATCATTCTGATAGCGATACCTAAATTTTGCTGTTTCTAATTTGTCTGTTTTGAAATGTTTATATCAAATATACTAATTGCCTCCCAAATTTTATGTGTCATTAATGTTTTTCTTCTATGAAAGAGATGTTCACAATAATTATAAATATATTATTTCCTTGTTTTAACCTCTTAGAAATTTTTATGTTAAAATGATTTATATTTATAAAAGATTAGCATGAGATGGCGGCACCTGTGGCTCAAAGGAGTAGGGCGCCAGCCCCATATGCCGGAGATGGCAGGTTCAAACCCAGCCCCCTGCCAAAAACTGCCAAAAAAAGAAGAAAAAAAGATTAGCATGAGATTAGATTTTATGCACTACAAATTCAAACTGATATAGGTCCTAAAATCAATGTGATTATTTTATGGAAATGTTGTATCACTCTTACAACTATGGAACAAGTAATTTTATTCAAATACCCTCAGGTTACAGGTATAAGTTGGCTTACTTAAAGTTTTAAATTTTAAACTTCTAAATTGTATTATTAAAATTGAACAGAAAATTTTCAACCTATTATCTTGTATCTTAATTAGGCTAAATAAACTTATTAAAGGTTTTAGATACTCAAAATAAAACTTCAGATCAAAAACATGTCTCTTCTTTATTGGTACGCAAAGAGAGGTGAGGTAAATCTCAGGCAAACAAATTCCCTTACAACGAGAGAATACTTGCCACAGAAAGAGACAATAGTCATTTGTAGCCTGATTGCTGTACCATGCCTCTGCAACACAATATAACTTTTTTGATCACCTAACAATGGTGTCAGCATCCCAGCTTCATAATTAATGCAATGGTCACCAATCGTATGAGATGGCAGGATGATTAATGATAATTTTCATTTTTTAGTTTAGCTTATGAGAGGGAAACAAGAAAAAGGTATTATTATTATAATATATGATCACTTAAGAATCAATTTGAATATTATACTTCAAAAGTTTTATATAGCACAAAAAAAGAGCATTATTTCATGTAGGGACCAGGCAGTGACTTTGAATTTCAAACTCTGACCTCTACATTCTGTATTTTCAGAAAGTAAGTTTTATTTAGTCATTCTGCTTCAGTCACCTTTACAACTTTAATGTAAATAAGATATCATCTATTAACAACTATATACTCCTGATAATGGAATTTTATAAATCTGTTTTACTTATCTTCCATGAATTTCTAATTAATTTTCTGAATATCATAAATCCATAGAAGAGCACATTTGTCAAGAATATTAGGAATACAATTAGATGCTCTGTGCATTTTGGGAACTTGTTTAGTTGAAAATCATTTATTTTGAAGTGATAGAAAATGTAAATACACTATACGCAAAAATGGATTACAAGCTGGAGATGATTTGAGTACTGAAGATCTGCATTTACTGGCAATCATGGAAATCAGTAGAATTTTTCATTCTAAACAATATAGAAAATTAAGCCCTTTTTCCTTTTCTTCTCTTTAAAATACTCAAAGAGCATATTATCTTGCTTAGCATGAACAGACAAAATTTCAGAGCTGGCATTCGAGTCTGGTAGATTATTACAACACAATGGCCTATCTTTACAATCTCTCTGAAACAAATGATACACAGCTAGTCATCTTTTCATCAGTACTGCAACTCTATCAAGAATCTATGTGAGTTAATCCAGAGTCCCAAGAATTTTCTTTTCCTTGCAAAGAGGTGGATGGACTATTTCGTCGAAGTGCTTCCTTCAATCAATTATGCATTAATTATAATTAATTAATAAGACTATATGATAGTACTGCCTTGAAGAATGCATTGACTAAAACTGTCCAGGTTTGACTCCATCAGCTCATAGCAGTCATGAAATGCCTCCTAAAGAGCTGATTCCTAGAATAAATTTGCAGAGGATTTTGCGAAGGATGGAAAGGTGTTAATATACCCTTACCTCTTTGCAGTGCCAGGAAGGAGAGCATCCAGAGTTGGTATGACCAATACGAATCTTAAAAAGTGTTCCGGTGTCTCCAACTGTGATCTATAAAGAGCCAAGGAAACAACATTCAGTGTAATTTCACAAAACTCACTTAAAACCAGCTCAGATCAGGACATTATATATTGATAAACATATGAGTTTATCAAGAAGATACAATAATTATAAACATGCACATAGCTAACAAGAAAGCACTAAAATATAATAAGCAAAAATTTGGGGGGACAGTCTCACTCTGTTGCCCTTGGTAAAGTGCCATGGCATCTTAGCACACAGCAACCTCTAACTCTTAGGCTTGAGCAATCCTCTTGCCGCAGCCTCCCCAGTAGTGGGACTACAGGCATGTACCACTATACTGGCCAGTTTTTCTATTATTAGTAGAGATGGGGGTCTTGCTCTTGCTCAGGCTGATGTTGAACTCTTGAGATCAAGCAATCCACCTTCCTTGGCCTCCCAGAGTGTGAGGAATACAGGCATGAGCCACTATGCCTGGCCCCAAATAAGCAAAATTTAACAAAACTGACAGTCTATGATAATAGTTGGAGACTTCAATACTCCATCTGAATAATGGGTAAAACAACTAGAGAAAAGAATAATGAGGAAACAGAAGACTTAAATACTATACACCACCTGGACCTAACATCTATACAGTGTTTCACCCACATTAGAAAAATCTTTTCAAGTGCATGTGGAACATTCACCAGGATGAAACCATATGTTGTGTAACAAGACAAGCCTCAAAAATTTAAAAAGACAAATCATACAGAGTATCTTGTCCAAACACAAAGGAACAAAACTAGAGATCAATCTTAGAATAAAAACTGAAAAATTCCAAAATATGTGTAAATTAAACAATACACTTTATAAAAATATGTCAAAAATGAAATTATACCAAAATTTTAAAATACTTCACAAAAAGACTTCAAAATCTAAACAAAAATGCAGTATGTAAAAGCATTGAACAGAACGAAGGTAGAGCTCAGAGAGACATTTACATCTATGAACATCTACACGAAAAAGGAAGAAAAATCTGTAGTAAATAAACATTACATTTTAAGAAAATAGAAAAGGACGAGCAAACTAAATACTAAGCTATCAGAAGGAAGAAAATAATAAAGAATAGAATGATGATAAACAAAACAGAATATAAAAGCAGTAAAATCGATAAAGCTAAAAGTATTTATTCATGAAGGGTTAACAAAATTAACAACTTTTAGCAAGCCTAACAAAATAAAAAGAGGGATTGTTAAAATCAGAAATAAAAGCAGAGATATTGCTACAGACTTTACAGAAATAAAAAGATTGCCAAAGAATACTATGAACACCTGCATTATAACAAATTAGATAATCTCGATGAAATGGAAAAATCTCTAGAAAGGTAAAAAACCACCAAATATGACTAAAGTGGAAATAGAAAAGGTGAGTGGGCCTATTACAAGTAAATAGACTGAATCAGGATCAAGAGAAGCCTAGTACTGAAGTCTTCACTGGCGAATTCTAACAAATATTTAAAGAAGAATTAACACCAATTCATCCCAAACTTTTCCAAAAAAATAGAAGAGGTGAGAATCTTCATTCTGTATGGTCAGTCAGCATTATGCTAATAACAGAGCCAAAGGTACAACAAATAAAGAAAACTACAGACCAAAACCCCTTATAAATGTAGACACAAAAGTCTTCAACAAACTAGCAAACTGAATCCGGAGCATAGCAAAAATATTATACACCATAATCACCTGGGACTCGCCCCAGGAATGGAGGTTGTCTCAACAAAATATCACTGTAATACACCACATACATACAGTGAAGGGTGGGGAGGGACACAAATTAATAAAATCCCCTTTCATGATAAAAACATTCA